TCTACCTTTAGTTTCATACATATTAAAGCATGTTTTTAGGCCCTGTATCTAATAACAGGACTTCAGATATGACAAACACATTTACCTTTATAGTGATAATTTATGTACCTTCATACACATAATTTTGCATACACTAATCCACTTTGCCCATCATTGTGTTCAGATACCCATTTTCAATTTTCTTTCTTACTAATTGCCGTGAGTATTAAATAGCTTGTTAAAGTCTGTTGAGGGAACAAACTAAAATAACTGCCTGTAGTGAAAACTGAGTAGGTTTAGTGTTCTTTTTCTTAAAATCTGCCTTTGAAGCAGAGATAGTGTTGGCAAAGATATTCTCATTTTCTTAAAATATTCGCACATTGATTATTTTCATGTATATAAACATGTTCCAAAAGGTACAGTCCATCACTGAATGGCAAGATTTCTTTCAACCCTGACTGAGGATTCTGCTTTTACGTCCCAATTCTAGCTTACTGCTGCCACAACAGAATCTAGAATTTTAATATTGTTTTACTATAGTCAGAAAGAAAAAAATCAGATTCAAAGCTTGTTCTGTTATCCCTCAGTTTATTCAGAAACAACTATGTTGATTACAGAAACTGGTCTTGGTTGGTTTTCAGTTGCTCAGCTCCTGTATCACATTGGCATTAGAGAATGTGTTGGCTCGTGTGGCATCACAGGGGCAGAGGCAGAGAGCACCGGAATAATGGGTTTCCTTGTAGCTAAGCAGGGTGGCCTAAGACTAAAGCTCTGCTAGTGCAGAGAAGCAGGAAGTCACTCCTCTGAAGAAGTGGCTACCAACCTTATCAGATTCCAGCTACAGAGTTGTTGGGGCCACAGGTCTACCCTGAGATCGGCAGGGACATCAGGGGCACCTGATTAGTTCTGTGGGTGCTGCTGCACATTGCTTCTGGCTTCACAGCCCTAAACACTAACTCTTCAGCTTCCTTGACAGTTCTGCGGGCTACGACATGGCCTTGTAAAATTTTACACTTTAATTGCGTGTGTCTGTGTGTGCTTGCGCACACCAGTCATGGTGCAAGTGTGGAGTCAGAGGACGACTGCAGGAGTCAGTTTCCCCTTCCGCAATATTAGTCCCCTTGGATCAAATCCAGATTTTCAGGGGCACGTGCCTTTATCCGTGGAGCCATTTTGGTAGCCCATGACGTTTCTTGTTCTCATGAAATACCCATAAACACACGAAAGTAGAGAGCTAGTACTATGAGCCTAGATAGATCTGCCATTCTACCAATCCATCCCATGTTTCTAGAAAGTCCATAGAGAAAATCCCAGGTTATTGTATTATTCCACTCTTTCATATTTCAATATTTTTAATCAATAATGAAAATATTAAAAACCTTACTATAAATACCAGAAAGTCAACAGCTCCTAATATCATCCAATACTTGAACTTTCCCAAACATCTCAAACTGTTTCTTAACATAGGGAACGTCAAACTGGCAACCTACAATCCCCATGTGGCCTTTGTCTGTTATCTTTTATTTCTCGTTCTGTAAGTTCACTTCCACTCCTCGGTGCGATTAGAGGCTAACCCTGGAGAGGCCAAACACTCTGCATTTGGCTGATTGTAGTAGTGTTTAAGTTGTTCCTTTATTCCTATCTTTCCTCTCTATAGGTCCATATCCAGCTGGTTTATTTCATAGGCGATACTATGAATTTCCTACTATATTGTGTCATGAAACATGATTCTGGTTATTCTACTTGCAGAGATGCTGAAATTGATCAGTGGAGACAGGGGCCGTTACCCACACCCCTCCACTTTGAAGGTCACGTCACCCTTGCCGCTAATGCTTTAAGGTCTATTGATATTCCTGCCTGTTTCTTGAGGGCTTATCAAGTGATGATGTTTAATTCTGTCATTTCTACCTGTGATTCTTCTATAAAGAACTTAATTTTTGTCAAATATTTGGCTATTCTAAAATATGGTTTAACTGAAGAAGTAAGGAAGTGCCTGTTCCAGTCTTTCCAGAGCCAAGGAGCTAGAGCCCTCCCACACCATTATTTTCAGTAGTGAAATATTCCCTTCTAGGGTTCTCCGGACACGCACTCATTATGAGGTCTTTGGTAGTTTCTTTACAAACATAATGCACCAAGCATGACTCATCTACTACCTGCCAAGGCAGGGAGCCGCCAGCCACTTTTTCAGGAGCTACAGAAGGGAAATGGCATCAGACATCACTGCTCGAAGGCATGTTCAGCAGAAGACTGGACAATCCGGAAAATTTTCAGAGATGGTAATGTATTTTCTTTTTTAGTTGAAGATGGTCAAAGTTAGTGTCTGTGTCTTTACAAGTGATAATTCTGACTGGTATCCAGGTGTATCTCCTATTAGTACAGGTCTGGAGGTTCTGACCAACCTGTAAAGCTATCACGTGGAATTATAATTAGAATATTCACATCTATTTTGTACACTGTATCAGTCACAGTCTCGTCTAAGATAACAACACAATGCAGCAAAGCTTCATATAACTAGGACATTTCCTACAGTTACTGTTTCCAAAGTGAAAACAATTTGCTCTTTATTGAAAAATATTTCCTATTAATTGCGAATGGCATCAGTTCCTAAGAAGGCCCTTATTTATCTCATTTAACCAAGAGAAGAGAGCACATCCTGGATTAGGAGTTTTAATACTCAAAATAATTCTTTTTTTTTAAGCCATGGCTCAAAATTCACTAACAAATTATGAAATTAATTTAGCATATTCTAGCATTAAAAACCAAACATCCCAAACAGATAATACAGCACATGTCACAAAGTCAGAGTACTATTTAACACACAGAAACACACACACTAAACAGCCAATCTCTTATTGTGAACGGTGGTGAGAAAGAATTGAGATACATCAGCTCAGATCCAAACTCTATTCACACAGCAGGCGACCTGGCAAAGCCGACCTCAGAAGTGCAGGAGCGGCTTTATCTCCAGTCCGCAGGGGCTCCGTATGCGGGGGAGCTGGCTGGCCACGCGGTAAGGGGTAAGTCACGCACTGCTATGGACAAGGCTGTTTTCTGTTTTCTCAGTTTGTTTTGTGGACCATTTCAGTGCTAACAAAGTAACAGAGAACTCTAAGGAGATGCCTCCTCCACATGATCTCAGGTGTGAGAACTTGTTTCTAACTCCTGAGTATCTCTCACCTGTGAAATCAGGCAGTGCCCGGTCATCAACCAACAGCATGGGCCTCACTTGCTTCTGCTCTACTAAGTTCCGGGCTGCCGTCAGAGAAGTGAAAATCTCGTCTTCGGAGATGTCAAACTCCAGTTTCTTCAACCTTTCCAGTAGGTCCTGCTTGCTCTCTTTGGTTGTATTGGTCACAAACCTAACCATCACAGAGGCAGCACGTAACCTGGAGAAGACAGACCGAGAGTGAAGAGGTGCTTTGGCCTCATGGGCTATATATAATACTGCCTTTTTTTTTTTTTAAATAATCGCCCAACGTTTACAAACTGTCTACACTCTATGGGCAGTGCTTCACCTCCAAAAGCTGGAATATTAAACTTTGAAAGTTATGTCCACTTTTGTGAGGCCTTCTGGGCTCCAGCTGCTCTGTGCTGTGGAGTTTAGTGAAGAAACAAAGCCCCACCATCCTCATGGGTCTGAGAGGTGAGTTATCTTAAAGACTACCCACTGATGGAACATGACAAAACTAGGCTCAGGGAGGCGAGTAACTTCACTGCTAGGCAGCAATGCGGGTATGACAATGCTTCTGTCTTCCAGCACAGTGTTTTATTTCCCTTACTTAAAGAACAAAGGATGCCCAGTTACTAGAGACCTGAGAAAGTATTCTGGAAGCAAGTGACATAAGAAAAAAGAACCCAAACAAGCCCAATAGAAAATCCAGCACGTCTCACAAGGTGTGCTGCACCCCAGTGAGCCGCCGTGTTTATAAACAGAAGTTACTTGGACAGCTCAAACAAACGCTCAAAACTGGTTTTCTAGCTGGGCAGTGGTGGCTCACGCCTTTAATCCCACACTTGGGAGGCAGAGGCAGGCAGATCTCTGTGAGTTCGAGACCAGCCTGGTCTACAAGAACTAGTTTCCAGGTCAGGCTCCAAGGTTACAGAGAAATCCTGTCTCGAAAAAGCAATAAATCAATAAATAAATAAAATAAAAAACAAACAAACAAACAAACAAACAAACTGGTTTTCTTGTCAGATCCAGGAGCTGTTAGCTGTACTTCTACAGAAAATTTGAGGCTGCTCTGGGCTCTAGTGAATTTAAGGCCAGCCCGGGCTACACAGCAAGGCCCCATCACCTCTTGAACTGCTTACATGCAGGATTGATTTGATTTTATCTGCTTTTGAATAATTGGTTATGGTTTCAGAAAAATAATTTGTGAATCTGGCCTTCCTTAAAAATAATCTTTTCTTGGTTCAATAGTGTTTTAACATAAAATCTAGAAGAAATTGTAATTTAACTATAGTTTAGAATTCATATTAATGGCCTTGCTTTTTATGTCTTCCCCAGAAGGCTACAAAAGCATAAAAGTACTAAACACAATTTAAAGCAAGCAAACGAATAAAATAGAAAAGAGTTCACCCAAAGAGCATTAAATAAAATTATTTGATTAATTCACTGTAATCATGATTACCTCTATAATGTCTGTGTAGTAGTTTTTCAGCAAAACACACTAAATGTGGTGTTTATCTCATAAAAGAAACTGACTACTTCAACATGACTCTTATCCCGAAAATGGGAGTTACTATGCAATAACCACACCCATTTAACAAACAAAATCTTTTCCTGTCCTTCACTTCCCTTGTCTCCTTGTTTCTATAGAAACCACAGTGGTAGGGGTCAGTGCAAAGATTTCCTTGGGAGGAAAACCTGCCAGAGACTGAGACAGAACAACGGATGGTCCTCCTGCCTGACAGAGTGCTGGCTCATAGGCCACACAGCCTCACAGAGGTGTCTGTTCAGCAGGGATAAGATTTTTCTCTCAATCTAGAGCAGAAAACTACTCTTGAGAGCAGTGAGACCTAGTACTGATGTGTAGTTTTGTTGAACTTATGGACAAAGACTTAGGTGGGAAAATAAGGTCTCTTTTTCAACCCGGAACTCCTTGTCAGTATGGGTTTTGATATACACATAGAGGAATATGATACTTAAGACAATTAAAAGTAACGGAGGCACTGACAATAGGTTTCCACCTTGAACATGAGGTCTGGAGTTGAAGGTGCCTGTCTTACTGTGACGAATGGTGTTGGCTTCAGTGAAGCACTGGCATAGCCCACAGGTCTGTAGTCTTCCTCAGCGTGACTGACAGCTTGTGGGAATATTACCTGAGCTCAGCCGTGCTAAGAAGTTGCACAGGGTTCATTCTAAAATGGATGCTGAAGTAAACAGCTTCTAGAAATTAATGTTAATAATCCCAGATAGGGAATGCTGACGTTGCCATCAGTATTTGCATTGTTCAAACGTAGACCAAAGAAAATCAAAGAGAAGAACCGTGGGCTTGGAGGGCAACTGGAGTAAACATCAGCTCACTCTAACTGGAGGCAACCTGGAAGAGAAATCTCAAGCTCTGGCTCTGGAGAAGCTGTGGTGACTCTGACAAGTAGTAAAGGAATCACAGAGGAAATCCCTTAGAAAAACACTGGCTGGAGAAATGGCTCAGCAATTAAGAGCACTGGCTACTCTTCTAGAGGTCCTGAGTTCGATTCCCAGCAACCACATGATAGCAACCATCTATAGTGGGATCTGATGCCCACTTCTGGCTTAAAGTCGGTAGAGCACTCATACATAAAATAAATAAATCTTAAAAAAAACAAAGAGTTTAAATAGTTCTGCCTAATTTTACTTATTTTTATAAAGCCCTTTATACAGTGTGTAGAAAGTCAGCATTACTGTTTAGAGAAACACAGCTTCTCAAGTGTTTTTTATGGAGGAGATAAAAATTAAGTTTAGCTGTTAAAAATAAACAGAGCTGGGATGCCCCTCGGTTGGAAGAGTGCCTGCCAGCGTGCACAAAGTCCTGGGTTCTGTTCCCCAGTACTGCGTATGCTGGGCGTGGTGGCACACACCAGCAATTCCAGCCCGAGAGGTTGAAGGAGGAGGCTCAGAAGTGCAAGGCTACCTTTGGCTGTATTTTGAGTTCAAGGCCAGCATGAGATACTTGAAAGCAAACACAGAAGCTCACCATAGAAGACCTGACTCAGAGACTATGCCAAGGGATGCAGTCTAGCTGGGCACCCAGTTGTCTACTGGTGTTAAACACTGCTCTGCCCATCATTCCTCCAATTACAAAGTTAACGTCATGACTCCAGATGAACAGGACAACTCCACCAAATGAGCACCAGCGACACTGGCATTCTTGTGTCTAAACGGAGAGGGAGGATGGAGCCTGTGTCAGCTCTTGCCCTCATACCCAGCAGTGGGGATACTTGTCACTGGATTTTCAGGTTAACAACACACAGTGAACATTCTAAGGTTTGAAAATGACAAGTACTAAATTTTATATTGCTATTTTGAAAATCTCTAATTTTGTTCATGACACCTGGAAGCAAACATCCATATTCAGTTGACGATGCGTATATATGTGCACATGTGTGTGGGTGTACATGTGTGTACATACATTAGGCCAGAGGACAACCTCAGGTGTTTCTCCTTCGGTGCTGTCGACCCCTTTTGAGACAAGTCTCCCACTAGCCCGAGGGTTGCAGATTTGGCTAGGCTGGCCTGCCAGTGAGCCTTGGGTCCACTACACCTGGCTCTAGGTGGGTGCTGGGGACTGAACTCGGGTCCTCATGCTTGAAGGGCAAGCATTTTCTTTAATGAGCCATCCCTCTAGCCCCTTGGTTATCTTTAACATGCTTTTACCACACATTCTCTGCTTGTTCCTAGACTTGTACTTGTTTAGTACTGTAATTGATGAATCAAAAATATAAGACAGTCTTTAATCTTTGGAAGTGTTAAGTTTAGTTGATGGAAATACTTCAAAAAATTCCAAGTCTTTCAAGCAGTTTTAAATTCAGCGTTAGATTTGAGGAGCTTAGGAGGCTGAACACGTCTGTGTGCCTGTATATATATTTCAGCTGGATTCCAGGATTCATGTGATTTTTTTCCCCAATGCTATTTATTCTATATTTTTAGAATTAAATTATTATTTCAGGTTCTTGAATCTTCATTCCCAATTTACATTATCAATCTAAAAAACCATACTGGGGAGGGAGGAGAGAGAACACACAGACGAGAGCCAAAGGCCAGACCTAATAAAGGCAGGGGAACAGTGCCTGAGGATATTACAACACATACATCTTCGAGCTGAACCCAAGGCAGCTCCTCCACGGATGGTGAGCTGGTGAGACACCATCTCAGGGCCATCCATTTAGCTAATGATCCGCCCTGGTAAAGCGGCACTTAAAAACGTATTTGTCATCTGAACCTGGAGGATAGCTTGCCTTTTAAGAGCTTCCTGTGCGCCTGGCACAGCTGCATCTTCAATGTGAAGTGTGCCATTGAGATCTACCAAAACAGCTTTTAACGCACGGCGTGCTGCCATCCTTCACTCCCTAGGAGAGAGCAAATGAAATTAAAAATACAGTTTAACAAACAATGGACAATTAAAAACTGGTAAGCAATCAAAAATACCATCCATTTCCAGGAAGATATTGCTTAGTGCTAAACTGCTTTTCTAAAAAAAAAAAAAAAAAAAAAAAACAGCATTTAAAAAAAAAATCAAAACCGCAACATTTAACGCATGAAACTTTTAATAATGCTTGGTTTTTATGTATTTTCTTTTTAATATTGAGTTAAAACTTGGAAGGGAAATGCTAAAATGAGATGCTACTACCTCATTTCAGGTTTCTCAGAATAACTGGCGGACGGTCTGTGTAAGCATGAGAACAGAGAAGACAGAGGCAGGAACGCTGCATTAACAAGGTCTTTTCAGTTTTGGTTATGGACAATTAAAACATCCGATTGCAAATGCTATGTTCTGAACTGGTGTGAGTGGCCAAGGAGCTGCCAGTATTTATAGGTCACTGAGGGTAGAAAATCAAGTTATATAGCTAATAAATAAATGGTATATATAAACACACACACAAACATATATAAGTGTATTTAAAATAAGGTCTCATACAGTCCAGACAGGCTGACCGTGCTCCTCCTGCCTCTACCTCCCAGCTGTGCACCACCATACCTGGTTCCTTCAATGGTGGGGATGGGATCCTGGGCTTCATGCATGCAAGGTTAGCATGCTAACAGCTAAGCTACATCTCTAGTTCCATGTAGAATTGTTTGTTTGTTGTTTTTTTGAGACAGGGTTTTTCTGTAACTTTGGAGCTTGTCCTGGAAACTACCTCTTGTAGACCAGGCTGGCCTTGAACTCTCTGAGATCCACTGCCTCTACCTCCCGAGAGCTGGGATTAAAGGTGTGTGCCACCACCAACTGGCTCCATGTATAATTTTTAAAGATCACTTCCTCACTTTCTAATGTGCAACTTTACTTTGCACATTTCCCCCTCATTTAATACTTAGCTTATTTTGACAAGGTCTTGTTATAGCCCAGGCTAACCTTGGATTCACCATTCTCCTGCCTCCTAAGAGTTGGAGCTACAGCTCTGTACTACTATGCCCAACCCCTTAAATCTCTATTGTGAGTTATGGGATCTAATGATAAATATGGTTTCTAGATCACGGGGGAAGTGGGCTTAAATATAGAGGTTCAAGAGAAAGAATATTTGAGACAGGGTTTGTTTTGAGACAAGGTCTCACTATGTAGCCCTACCAGATCTGGAACCATTCTGTAGACCAGGTTTGCCTCCAGCTGACCAGCATTGCAGGTATTTGTCACCATGTCTGGTGATTTATAGGTTCTTTTTTTTAACTAGCTAATCCATTCATTAGTCACTTCTTTTTTTTCCTATTTGTTTCTTGTCTTTACAAGGTGTCCTAATTAGGGTTTACTATTGCTGTGATGAAACACTATGATGAAAGAAACTTGATGAGGACAGCACTGCTCATCACTGGAGGAAGTCAGGACAGGAACTCACACAGGGCAGGAACCTGGAGGCAGGAGCTGATGCAGAGGCCATGGAGGGGTGCTGCTTACTGGCTTTCCCTCCGTGACTTGCTCAGCCTGTTTTCTTATAGAACCTGGGACCCCCAGCCCTAGGACAGAACTACCCACAATGGCTTGGTTTCTCCCCTATCAATCACTAATTGAGAAAATGATTTATAACTGGATATTATGGAGGCATTTCCTCAATTGAGGTTTCTTCCTTACAGATGACTCTGGCTTGTGTCAAGGTGACATAAAACTCATTGGATACAAAGAACACTGTCAGTTAAACCAAAAGGTATTAGGGACAATAAAAAATCATCCCTTTTATCTGTCCTTCCACTTCAGAATAAGATGGAGATAGTCAGTCAAAACCTCCTGTTTACCTTACCCAAGTCCTCTTCTCATATAATTAATGCTTTACATTAATGAAGATATAAAGTGTGTTACACTTAGCAATTTGACACATCATTGTCTATCATGTTAGTTGTGTGTAAGTAACTATAGGTAGCTTTGGACATTTTCACTACTGTTTTCTACTATATGAATGCACTATAATTATGTTCTCCTAAAGTAGTTTCCCTACTTTACTATAGCACACAGCACATCTGCTAACACATTCGCATGTCCCCTTGTGGGTACCTGTGAGTATTTCTCTGGGGTCCTGCAGGGTCTGCAGGTGTACACCCATCCTCCCTTTATACAATTCTGTTAAGTTGCAACCATGGTGTCACATTATACACTCAGCACAAAACTCCAGAGAAGAATCTGTTAATTTTAAGAACACGGCTGGGTGTGGTGGTGCAGGCCTACAATGCCATCTCTGGAGTTTCATAGCATTCTCTGTTATAGAGTTGAGTCTGAGGCCAGCCTAGCTACACGACACCCATCCTAACTCACCCCAGGAAGGAAAGAAAAAAATAAATTCTGCTTGTCTTTGCCAAAATCCTACTGGAAAAGAAGAGAATGCAGAGACCAAAAATTAATATATATATATATATATATATATATATATATATATATATATTAAGAAAAGCCAGCAGTCAGGGCTGGAGAGATGGTTCAGTTCCCAGAAGCCATATGGCAGTTCATAACTGCCT